AAAGGGGCGATTATAATCATAGAGACGATCGGCCCAAAAGGAAAGAGGTGATTGCTCTGCCCGAGACTTTATGGCCAAGAAGGCAGGGGAAGAAACAGAAATGCTAGAAGCACGAGAAAAGCTTTGGCCGAGAGCATCAGCAACTTCCTGGCCATTGGAGAGCAAGATGGAAAGGGGATGGAAAGCATACCTCCCAGTGATTTTCCGAATCTTGTCCTATACAGTTTTGGAACTGATGGTAGAAGAGATGTTAGTGGTGCACTTAATCCAAGACTCCTTTTGGCTTTGACGTTGAACCTGCCGAGCATGGGCACAGGCCCGCTGATAAACAATGCGGTTAGAAAGAGTGGGATACCATTGGAAGGTATCCCAGGCCCGTTTTTGAGCCTTCTGTGGCTCCTGGCAGGCAGGACTCCATCATGGATGAGGATAGCTTGGAAAAGGTGTCGAGGTCTTAGGAATAGAATGAACAGCCACTTGGACAATACAGTCAGTCACTGCCACCACATAATCATTTATTGATGGCAGACAGACGAAGGCAGGATCAAGTTCAGAGAGACAGGTGAAAGATGGCCAGTAAGCCTGGTCCAGCTTCCACCGTAGCACTCGGGTCAGGTGGCATCGACCATGGCCAACCTCTCTCAGTATGATAGGAAAATGATGCCCCGTGGATCACTGTCGACCATCCAAGAAAAGCGAGTGAAAAGTGCAGGGGAGCAAATCGAGAGATCAATGGCAGTAAAAGACTGACTAGGTGCATAAAAATAAGTATATGTTCCAGTATTGAAGAGAGAAAAGTTGTGATCCGAGAGCATATGCTCTATGGAACGACCCTTCCCATCAATATCAGCACCACTCCAGAGAGGGTTGTGTCCATTAAATTCTCCCAGAAGTAAAAAGGGAGGTGGCAGCTGGTCAACGAGAGCATCAAGGTCCGACTGATCATAAGTCTCCCCAGGAGACAGGTAGAGAGAACAACCAGTGATGGCACAACCCAAGGAAACACGTATGGCTACGGCCTCCAAGGGTGTTTCGAGGGACACAGATAAGGAGGGCACATGCTAGTCGACTAATAGTGCCACCCCTCCGTGTACCTGCCCATCATACAATCTGTCATTCCGGTACAAAGAAAACTGCCGAAAGGTGACTGTATTGGCAGGTTTCAGAAATGTTTCCTGTAAGGAGAAACATGCGGGATGATAGGAGTCAATCAAGGCCTTAATGTCATCGAGATTAGAACAAAAACCTCGACAGTTTCACTGTATCAAAGTGGCCATTTTTATGTAGGTTTAGGAGAACAGGGTAGAGAACCCTTCAGTTTACGACCACGCCGTTTTTCTTTACTAGATGGAGGTCGATCGACCTCCATGGATCCTGCCCTTAATCGAACGGGCAGATCTCTATCAACAGTGTGAAAATCAAATGACTGAGGACGTGATCAAATGATCGTCCTGCATTTAGGGGCCAAAGAAG